CAGTCTTTGTATCTTTTCAGTGGAGGTAACATCTTGCTTGAGACTCACTTCAACTAAATGCCTTTTTTTCTGTTTTTGCAAGCAAATTATTGGTCATTTTGAAATTTATTTTACATATTGACAATATATAATGCAGTGCAGTGTTGATTTAAAGAAAATAATCTTGAATTGCACCAAGAGAACTGAAATTTCATGGGTGAAATGGCACCATGGGGTGACTTCTCTTCCACCCCAATGCCTTCTCTTCTCCACCCCCATTCTAATTCCCATCATCATCCAGGAGCCTTCTACATACACACCTCAAAGTAAGTGTACTTTTCTACCTTTTTTGCTGAATTTAGGCAATTTTCGGTGAGCTGGAACCAATTACCCAAAAACCCATTGAAACAATGGTTTCGGTTAAAGAGCAACCTTCTAGAACGGATTGTGCTCGTTAACTGAGGGACCACTGTATACTTTTTCTCTTGGAATTTAAGCCATTATGCTTACCATTTTGGCCCAAAATCTCAATATAGGAACAGTAATCCTGAGCATGCTGAGTCTGAATCTATGGCCCACAAATTGATTGTGGGTATTAGTGGGCGTATTGAAACTCGGAAATTTGCAATGAAATTTTTTCAGAGCTAATTACTAGCTAACTACCGGTATGGGTTTCTGAGGTGATTACACATTACACAAAATTGATTACACATGAATCTTCATTGCTATCATCACTATACTATAACTTTCTTGTGAGCAAATTCTTGGAAAAGGTAATACATACTGTACATACCTGGAACTTCCCTAAGAAGATAAATTACACTTACCAGCCTCATGCATATCCAACAGAGAATTGCTAAGAGCTGATCTCTTTAAAGTAGAATCAGCTTTAAAGAGTTCCATTTTTTTCATTGGCAGTCAGTAATTCCATATCAGCTACACCAGTCACGGTTCTTGGCCATAGAACTGGGTCTTGATGCTCTTAAAGATGCCTTGTCTCTCCAGCTCCCCTTCAATTCTAAGAGTTTCCATCTCATCCATTTCACACACATTTTCCTTCAAATCTTCACAAAATTTGGTATGATCATGTTCACTGCGTGCATTGAAAATTATCAGTACTATATTGTCCACACGGTGTTGAATAAAATTTACATTATTAATTCAGGTGTAGGTTATTTTAGCTTCTCTTATTAAATTTTGGTAGAGAAAGGTAACATTCAACATTGTAATTTCATTTCCTATACCAATCCAAATGATATTTAAACAGACTATTACTGTACAGTACATACGTGGCACTTCCTTGATGGAAACAGCAAGACCGGCAAGAGGGAAGCTCTGCCTAAATGTATATGTTACAGAACTTTTCTTTTTGGAGAAAATCTTGGTTACTTCCGGAAGGTCATTGAAAAGGAAGACTTCTCACTGGTGAACTCCAACCCTCTCTTTCTTTGTCATATCGGGAATCTCATACAATCGACAATAACATACAAGTCGACGATGAGGTAGAGCCAAATTGGGCTTTTTGCCTAGTCTGTTGCACCTGTTAAAGATAAACCATTGTAATTTTATCCTCATCTTCACATTGGACATGCAACTACAGTAATAAACTTTACGAATATAAATTATATAGTTTTACATACACTGCAAAACATATACACTTCAAATAGTACTGTTTGGAGCACTATCAAATACAACATTTGAACAATTACCTTTAGAACTTGAGTAACGTGATCATGACCAGGTCAAAACTCTTGCGCTTTAATACGCTGATACATTCCCTCCAACATCTCACGTTCAATATCATAACTGTCATCAATACCTGTTAGGAACACAAGAGTTTTGTAAAAATAAACAACATAAATGTGTTAAACTCATATGACAAGCATTCCCGTATGCATCAGTAGATACTTGTCATGTTTATGTGCCAAAGCACCCACTCCTGTTAACCATTAACCAATGGTCTTGTAAATAACCGGCAACATTAATAGTACAATAACAATACAAGATGGTAATGAAAGCTGTTGGTTTAGATTTTAGGCAAAATGATTAAGAAACAGTAAAATATCTTCACTGACTTTCAATCACCAAATGAGCAAATATTAAAGAATTATTAGTTTCATGAACCACACATACCCCTCCACATTCATGAGGTAACCCTTGCTTGAGAGGAAGATGCTTCCCCACACATTTTTTTTTTACGGGGATTAGTCCACCTGGGCACAGGTCGCTGACCCACATCAGGGCTTGGGGGCGAAAATGTAATAATAATAATAATAATAATAATAATAATAATAATAATAATAATAATAATAATAATAATAATAATAATAATAAAAATAATTATAATAATGATAATTGTAACAATAATAGTAATAATAAGGAACCATAAAGAAATACAAAAGTGAAAGATCAAAAGTGATAAACAATATATGTATGTTGTGTTGTCATTAGTAAGAGAAACAATTGAGACCCTGCAATTGTGTGTAAATGAGGCAGAAAGTCAGATCATCAACCTGGGACTTGGTCACATATGGCAGCAGGGTCTACCATTAGACAACACATTATGCTTCCAATATCTTCCCAGGCGGTAGTACCTCCCTGTTTGGTAGCTTCCTACTACCTATAAATGATTACAGTTAGCAACTGTTACAGAAATCCAAATTAATTTACAGAATAATGAAGTCCACAGAAATCCAATAATTCATATAAATCAACTTGAACCATGCAAATAATATTGGTATACAGCTCCTACCCGACTTACAACCTACTCGACTTACAACCACCCGCACTTACGACCTGCCTCTGCCGTACCAAAATTTTGTCTAATTACATATTTTCAAGTCCCAACGTCAGTACAGATAAAATTTTTGTTTGTAATTCACTTTAAAATGGCTGGCAAGGTTAAAAGTGTGAGTTTTGTGGTGCTAAGAAAGAGACACCCATTTTAGATTTCCTATGTATTATTTAAGCATTTTCGACTTATGGCCTGGATTTGGGTCCCTAACCCCGTCGTAAGTCGGGGAGGAGCTGTAGTAATATCCCCATTAGCCGGATTCTTTGATCCCCGAAACTCTCCATTACCCAGCATTACAAGAAACTCCAAGAAAAATGTCTATTCTGGGCATTCGAATTAGTTTCTGATCAATTTTCCGGACCCTCTCTTCTCCACAGTCTTCACCTGCCACTAGTGACTTCAAAAGGGGGAGAAAAGTTAATTTTTTGGACAAACTCAGAAATGGTAGGAGTTATGTCGCATGTAGTCATGCATACAGAGTAAATGAATCTACAGTGCACTACATCAAGAAAAGTGAAAAGGAAATTAGACAGGCAATGGTTAATTGTGCACCAGTTACTGTTAAATCTCCCAGCATGGAAAGTGTATTAATAAAGATGGAGAAAGCTAAACATATGGATAGAAGACTTGAATTGCTTCATATTCCTGTAGATAATATAATTATCCATGTGAGAGCTGAAGGAGACAAGGAAGGGAAGCACTCTTTTCTGGCTAGCAAGGAGTGATTTGGTAATTTTAAGAGGAGATTCGCCCTTTATAACTTAAGGGTAATGGACGAATCAGCGTCAGCTGATCATGTGACTGCACAGATGTGTCCCAAGGAATTTGTAAAATTAATTAATGACAATGGATATTTGCCAGAGCAAGTCCTCAATGCAGACGAAACGATTGTGGTACAATAAAATGCCGAGTAGGACAAACATATCCAAGGAGGAGAGACAGGTGTCAGTATTTTAGGTAGAAAAGGACAGTGTCTCACTGTTGTTGTGTGGTAACACAGCTGGCCATATGATAAAGCCTATGGTTATTTACAGGACAAAGGGAATGATAAAATTCATCGCCATACCTGGAAATCTCTCAATCCCGGAACTGCTCTGCCCCAATTAATCCGGTTAATGGGGATATTACTGTACTTATCTAAACAGACTTATATACTGTATTTACTGTACCTATCTACATATCTGAAAAAAGCACTGTTAGTACTAGTGTATATGTACAGAAAAAAATATTAATGCTAAATAGCTTTCATTTGACTTGCCTCTTAAGTTCTTAATAAAATCTAGTTTCATTCTTTCTTCTTGTTTCATAGATGCAGTGTGAAGATCTATATTTAGCATGATGATGGCAAACCCCAACACAAATATAGTTTCAGGATCTCTTAATTTAGCCACGATGTCCCTATTACACTGACAGTAACGTTGAGCAAATACTTGCATAAGACGCTCAACCTTTTGCGCTTCCCCAGGCATGCAGAAATGTGTTTGGGACTTCCTAAGAGCAACATCTACTTGCATACCAGACAGGTCAATGTCATGTGCAAAACACCTGGAAATAAATAAAATTTGAAATTAATGGCCTTCAAGCTGGATGTACATCTGTACATGTTTCTCCTATGATCAATTGATATATGATAACTTACTGTATAATGAAATGAGTAGTACAGTAATGTTTGTAAACAATATAATGTAACTTTCAAATCCTGCATAAATATAATGTACCATATATTATATAACATGTATTGATACAGTACAGTATTGTAATTTTCTACTATTTGTGACAATAAAATAATTGAAGTTGTACTTTTGTTTTAATTTCCATTTTGCATTATATATACTTAATACTGACCTTAGGCTTAGGCTCACCTCACTCCTTCGCATATTAGACCCGCCCCAACGGGTCACCCGCAGTTACCATCAAGAAGTTGAACAGAGAGCATCATCTGCGCATTTGTCATTTGGGACCCCGTCCGAACCCACTGATCTGAAAATGTAAGTACTGTACTAATAATCTTAACTTTCCAATTTTAATCCTGTTGTAATTTAATTTTAAATTTTATATTATCTTCTTATCCTAACATTACCTATCGTATTAATCAATGTTCTCCCGCTATACTGCCAGACTGGGGTCACTAATCCTAAGGGGGAATACTTAAATCTACGTGTAATCTTAATTTCTAAGGGTCGCTGCCACCAGACCCCCTCTGGACAGCATGTAGCTCGTTAGGTAGCGTGCAGAGTGGACTAGGCATTGGGTTAGGCTTTTCATTGACCAGATCGATAAGGGGAAAGAAGGGTGAAACCACAACCTGTCTTAGTCCTTTCAAATGTTCCTTCTACTCACTTCAGTTCATTTTTGGTACAACCTAACCACAGTTCTTCTTGTCGATGGTCTAGGCACATGGGTAGTGTAATTCTGATATCAGGGTCACTTGGGCAGAAATAAAGGTAACTACTGTGGGAGAAATGAATACTCCTAAAATTCTCAAAGAACAAGTTTATTAATATAAAATCAAAGGGGAAAATAGATGTTATTAACATATAACTACCAGGCTCAACTCCTGGGCCTATTGCAGACTCTGTATTCCTTATTTATTTATTTTCTTATTTACTCAACAGCAATTACTCAGATATTACACTCTTACCGTGCACACAATAACTGGTGTCACCTTACATTACATCGCAGGACCAGTTCCTTGTCCTTACTCCCAATACACCAATACTGATACAAACACCGACATGGGTCCACCACCCAACATGGGGTAATTATGAACAAACACATACAACCACACTGTGGACCATAACTCCAAGGCCTGTCCTAGGGTATAGCACTGGCGCCTCTAACAACTACTGTTGTGGTCTGTTACACTCCGACACGAGGTGGGTCTGGGGTCCTCGGCCCACGAGGTAGAGTGGAGCTGATAAATCATGCCAAATCAGCACCATCACTCCTATATTGACCACTGCTGGGTATCCACCTGCTCCGAGCGACCGGTGGGTTTCAATTAAGCCCACCCTCGATCTGGGAAGGAAGGTGAAAGATGATACAGGAGGTTTTTTTTGGGGGGAAGCATGGTGGGTCACAAACAAATCTTCAGTCTCGCCACGTCAGATATTTACGTTATATTACTTCTTACACTAGGTGAATGACAATTCCACTGTTAAGCATGAACACTGATGAAGACTGATATTCACTACAATAGACTGAATCAAACTGAATGGTTATAAACACAGAACATACCTGGGAAGGAAAGTGAAAGATGATACGGGAGGTTTATTCCTCCCGCCTCGCACTGGTTTATATACCCCTGAGTTGCCAGCGATCGCTGCTCAACGCAATGACAGAAATTACGAACAATCTAACTGTTATTCATTCAAGGATGACCCTCAGTTGACAAAGGTCTGGCGAATTTCTAAAGTTGATTTACAGACTAATTCAAGGTTGCATTTGCCAGTAGAGAGTGCAATAAATGTAGTGACAACTGTGTTCGAAGGCGGGACTTACTGGGAGTGATCCTGAGGGTAAAACAGATGGGAAAAACATGTCTCTCCTGAGATTCTACAAGCGCGGTGGATTTGAATGTTATGTAGCGTAATATGAATTAAAATGGGTTTTTAGGAATGACAATGATGTGCGCAGTACACAGCACATATTTTTCGATAAAAACATTCCCACTGCATTTATTCGGCTTTCATCCTAATATCATAAATTAAGTACATACCCGGGTTTATGTAATTTTTATTAGTTAGTTCTATCCTTAATTTACACATGGCGAAGTGAGGCCCAATGGACATGTTTATCAAGCCGAGACATCCGGTTGCTGAACACAAGTACAGTAATTCTGAATCAGATGACGGCGATGTAAATGAAACTGAAGTATTGCCGGCAAAAAGAATGCGTGCTAGCTTTACTCGGAAATATGACTCCTCATACCTCAAGAGGCATTTAAATACAAAACATAAAGAAATGGGTTCAAAGTCGAAAGAGTTCTTTGAAAGAAAGCATGTTGATTTAAAAGACACAATCGGTGAGACGCTAGTGTTAGGCTGTCTTAAAGATGTCTGCATGGAAATGCTGGGCGAGCCGGCGGCAAGGAAAGTGGCTCAGGTGCCACTTTCAAATGACACTATAGTTCGACGAATTCACGATCTAGCTCAAGATAAGGAAGATCAGCTCACAGGACAGATTAAATTAGCAAAGTACTTTTCTTTGCAGCTTCATGAATGTACAGACGTTGCTAATATGGCAATTCTGCTGGTGTATGTGCGCTTTGAACATGAGGGTGATTTGAAGGAAGAGTTTTCTCTGCTTCACTACCAACAAAAACAACTACCGGGTAATAGACAATGCAGCGATGCTCAACCCTAGCCACCTCCTTATCATGGGGGACTTTAACTATGGCGACATCGACTGGAGAAAACGAGTTCACGCCAAATGGCTTAAATAACCCCTCTTTTTGTAGAAACTCTGAGAGATAATTTTCTCTTCCAACATGTTAAAAGACCCGATGCATTACAGAGGGGAGTAAACACCCAAGCCACTGGACCTCATCATAACAAACGAGGAGGGTATGGTGGCTAAACTAGAACATCTAGCCCCAGTTGGCACCAGCCACCATGTAATATTGTCATTCAGATTTAACTGTTACTTAGTTCACAACAAAACCAGGCCAAGGTGTAAATATTACAAGGGAAATTACGATGAGATGAGGGAGGAGAATAGGGGTATCCACTGGCCCGATTCACTAAGGTATAAGAACGCAGACACTACACTGAAAATCATAGCTAGTAAGTGAAACATTTGATCGAGAAATCTATTCCCAAGACCAAACCCAGTGCCTATAGGAATACAAGGAGACCCCTACAAATGAACCATGCAGCGGTTCGACAAATTTAAGAAGAAACCCCAGAAATTCAAGACTTGGGTTAGGTCAAACGATGAGCAGAACAGGAGGATGTATGCAAGAGCCAGGACTCAAGCAAAGTCGGAGTGTAGAATGTAGAAGGGCAGAAAAGGAGTTCCAGAGGCTGGTTGCAATCGAGGTCAAGTCAAACCCAAAGGCATTTTACCGCTATGTAAAGTCGAAATTAAAAACGAAAGTAGGAGTATCAGACCCTAGGTTTGATAATGGTAGTTACGCAGATCCTGACCAGGACAAAGCGAAGATATTGAACAGTTTTTTTTTCCTCGGTGTTCACAAGAGAGGATGCGATTAATCTTCCTGCGTTTGTGGACAGACAGTTCGACACAGCACTAACCCACATTGTGGTCACAGAAGAGGTTATAAGAAATAAATTGTCAAAGCCAAAGGTCCACAAGAGTCCCGGCCCTGGCAAGATGCATCCCAGAGAGTTGTGCAACGAGTTTGCTGAGCCCCTGAAGATCCTGTTCTGTAAATGCCTCGATGAGCAAAAAGCCCCCAGTGACTGGAAAATGGCTTATGTGAACCCTATCTTCAAGACGGGCAATCGTCACACCACAAGTAAATATAGACCAGTGAGTCTGACCAACATAGTATGTAAAGTATTTGAGAGCATTATAAGAGATGCCGCGATGGAACTTCTATTATGAAACAACCTGTTTTATGCTGGGGCGCTCCTGCTTAACACAATTACTCAAGGTACAGTACTGGATATTTGGACCCAAATTCTGGAACGGTGGTAATACAGTATCGACAATACATACCTAGATTTTGCCAAGGCTTCCGACAGTGTACCCCCATGAAAGGCTGGAAATTTAAACTGGAAGGGTACGGGATTCAGGGAAATGTCCTAGTATCGATCGGAGACTTTCTCCATGACCACAAGGAGAGTGTGGTGATTAATGGCACGAAATCATCATCTGTACCCGTCACAAGAGGGGGACCACAGGGCAGTGTATTGGGCCTGCTGTTGTTTGTTTGTTTCGTAAATGACATGCCTGACACTGTACATTCCTCCATACAAATGTTTGCGGATGATGCTAAGTTATTTCGGGAAATTAAGAACCAAGCAGACTGAAGAGCTGCAGAAGGATCTCTGTGAGCTTCAAGAATGGTCAAAGAAATGGCTGCTAAGATTAAATGTCACGAAGTATAAGAGGCTGCACCTGGGACATACCAACGGTAAGGAGGCGTATCATATGTCCCAACGAGATGAATAAACTGCATTAATTGAGACAATGTGAAAAGGACCTAGGTGTGTATGTTGACAATGAACTGGAATTCTCGGGCCATTGTGAGGTGAATCAGGCAACTAAATTATTAGGTCTCATAAGAAGGTTGTTCAGATATCTAGACGGTCAGTCCTCATAACGATCTTCAAGAGTGAAGTGCTTCCCCGTCTGGTGTACTGTCACCCCGTTTGCTCCCCGAGATATGCTAGGGAAAGTCAGTTGATTGAAAATGTCCAAAGGAGGGCCACCAGACTGGTGCCTGCACTACGGCACCTCAGCTACCCTGAGAGATTAAATCTCCTGAAACTGCTTAGCTTATACTACAGACAGGCAAGTGGAGACCTAATTGAGGTGTATAAGCATCTCAAAGGGCACTACTCAGTCGAGTGCACTTACCTGGAGCTGGCTGACACTCACCCCACAAGGGGTCACAGCTCAAGGTTGAAGAAGGGGCAAGCCCAGAAAACTGAGGGGTAACTTTTTCGGAGTGAGAGTTGTGAACTCTTGGAACAATCTGCCAGAGCGTGTTGTGACGGAACCGAGTGTCAGCTCTTTCAAGACCAGACTTGACCAACACTGGAGCAGGTTCAGATAAATTCAGGAGCCGGTGCATGCCCAGTACTTGCCACAGTGCGTAACAGAGACGTGACTGATCGCCCAAGCGGGTAACGAGCCAAACAGTGATGAGAGTAAAAGTAAAAGTTAATATCATCCAAACAACATCTGAAAATGTTATGCAATTCCATGAATTCCTTCTGGTGCTAACCGCATCCTTGTGACATTACCATATTGTGTACTTTTGAAAAAGAGCCCTGGTTTATGAATTTTACTCGCATCTATTCTAATTGCTTTTCAAAATATTCTTTAAACTTGTGTCATGCTTACTAAATATATCTACTTACCTTTCTTGTCCTTTAAGAAGTAAAGAAACCTCAGATCTTTATTGTTGTTTTTATTTGTGCCGCACACAACACACCGGTGAAGCCTGTACCTTCTCGCCATGTTTGTGTCACTCATGTCAGTCATCAT